ACGGACATTTGGACAGGGTTTGGAGGAAATATAGACGCAGCATATCCTAAAACGATATAGAGACAATAACAACTAAACAATGTAAACTAATTCTACTGACATCACAGGGGGCCCACACAATCTGTTTGTGTAGCCGATTGTTATTTTATAGTAAATGTACTGGATTTACCGTTTGCTTCACCTATAGCGATATATCGCTAACTATGTATATCGCTAACTATGTATATAAATCAATAATAAATAAACGTTGAATTACCTTACCTGTGGTGTATAGTCGTCCTTTTGCCTCAAAAGCGGTTTTTTGAGCAATTTTGAATGAATTTGAGTTCGCCCTTGACTGTTCCAACGGCAAACGGTAAATCCAGTACATTTACTATAAAATAACAATCGGCTACACAAGCAGATTGTGTGGACGCCTTGTGCTGACATTGGATTTAACGTGATTCTCTGGTGTTGCAGTGCGCATCCTGTTCTGTGCATAACAGCGCGCACTTAAATATTACGCAACAAGGTGGCTTGCTGTCAAAGACCCAAGAAACGGTTGTTATCTACTCAGCAAGCGAGGTGACCCCTTCTTTTCTCGCATAAATGTACTCTTCTAGCCTCTATATTTGTGCTGTAGAGCTCATAAAAGAAATTTTGTCTGAAAAAAAATAAAAAATTATTGAGAAAACAGAACACGTAGGCATCACTTGTGCAGACGAAATAATATCCTCTAGCCTGTCTCGCACTCGAGGAATATTTTGCTCAGTATCTTTTCAAGAGGTGTGCTTGTGCGATAAGCAAAAATTACGTTCTTTCTTTTGATCATACATTGAACGTAACCCGGGTAAAACACAGTAGTGAATCGCTGAGATTTTGCGCTAATAAATTAGATAGCTCGTTAAAACGAATGATCTCGTTGAATAATAATAATAATAATAATAATAATAATAATAATAAGTGAGGGAAGAGGGGAGCCCAAGTGCTAGACGAGTCTGGTATGAGGATGGACGAGACAACTACCATCAAGGCTCTTGGCGAAGGAAAACACTACAAATTCCTGGGGGTGCTAGAGAACGTTCGACAGGATGAACGGCTGGCCCTAGCTTGCGCGGCTAAAGAGTATCTACGCAGGATATCTATTATATGGTCCAGCCCCGTGTCTGATTGTAACCGTGTGCAGGCAACTAATCAGTATGCACTCCCGGTCCTGCGGTACCTAATGTGGACACAGCATTGGCCTCTATCAGAGTTAAGAGATGTGGACAGAGCAGCTCGGAAGATCATAGTTGAGAACGGTGGCAAGCACCCAGCTAGCCTGACTTCTTTGTTATATCGACCGAGGGAGAAAGGAGGTAGAGGCCTGCGATCAGTCGAACACGAGTACAAGATCACTAAAATCAAATCGCTACTGAAATTGTATCAGAACCCGGACAAGACTGTGGAAGCAGTTAGAGAATTTGAAGAACACGCCAGTCGCTCGTAAAGGAAGCAGCTAAGTACGCTGAAGAACTCAACATCACACTTCAGCTTGATACCCTAAACCCCGTATGTGTTACAACAGAAGGAAAGGTGGTAACTGCAGCAAGAGCTGGAAATCTGTTGAAGCAATCTCAAGAGAAGCAGTTCTTGGAGATCGCTAAAGACAAAAAGTGGCAAGGAAAGTTATTCCGTATCAGATGGGAAGATGAGAGACTAAGCATAACCAGCTGCTTTGCATGGTTAAAAGGTTGGGCTACATGCCCTACACATACCATCGCGGGCATGTATGAATTGTATGAGCAGTTGTTACCTACGAAGCTCTACACAAAGGAGGGGGGCGTAAGGGGGGTCCGAAAACCGCAAAACCGCACAGAAATACGCCAAAAAACCGCAAACCGCATCGGATTTTTTCCCGAATACCGAAACCGCGCGTACATGTAGGCCACAATATAAAAGCTGACGTCAGCAAGACTTGTGATATATTCTGACATCATTGTGCGTTAGTATTAAACATACCATCATAACGCTAACGATATATTGTACTACACTATTATACTCTATTTACTACTAACCAAATGCCAAGTATGCTGGTCATGTACTTGAACGAGTATTGATATCTCCCTTAACTTTGAAAAACTCTGTCACTGATCCTGTACGTCTTAAATTGGGTGACTGATTACTTTGAACGACCCTGTGCTAGTTGTGGAACGCGGAATAAATGTTTCTTCTGGAATTGTGACCTTCTTGTGTCGTAAAGAGTTCACGTTCAGTGAAGAAGACGATTGTTAAAGCGTACAGCTCTTCTGAAATTCTCCCCTTCCTTCCCTTCTTCATAGAAGAGTGCCACGCAATTAATTATTACGTGCTCTTCTCTTTCAGTTGCGACCTCGACGACCTCAGTTGCCATTGTCGCGCACTGAATCAAAGCAACGAGAACACGAGGCTGTAGGTACGGCTGTACGAGCTAACCTCCGGCGTGGAATTTCACGAAGTCGACGCATCATAGGCCAAAACGGTTAATCACATTAAGTATTAACTGGAAAAGGCCGTAATTGCAAACCACAGAGTTAAATTGTAAGCTGATATAATGAACCCTGGTGGGTTGTAAAGCAAAACTTGGTTCACGCTTGCAAAACAACCGGATGCCGACCTTTCTAAAGAGTGTTATCACCGCAGACACTTTTTTTATCACCGAAAACCGCGACTTAAAGGTTGTAATAACCGCAAACCGCTTAGTGTTTTGAAACCGCAATACCGCGAGTTAAAATAAAAATTACCGCAAAACCGCACCAAAAATAACGCAAAACCGCATCACTGCAAACCCTTACGCCCCCCTCACAAAGGAGAAGACGCAAGCCTCCACCGACGGCGAAGTTCTGTGCAGGTTATGTGGGAAGGTAGCTGAGAGCGTCGCACATGTACTGGCTGGATGTTCCTCCCTGGCACAAACCAAGTACCTATACAGGCATAATGCAGCTTTGAAGATTCTGTTTTTTGAGCTCCTGCGGGAGCATGGGTTAACGGAAGAGGTTTCACCATGGTACTCACCGGTGATGCCAAAACCAGCCTACCAGAACACCACGAGTGAGGCGTTTTGGGACGTTCCCATCTATGCAGAGCACAACGAAGCTAGAGTAAATCGGATCGACGCGCGACTTGTCAGCCACGAGAGGAAAGAAGTCTGCACAATTGAAATGAGCGGCCCATGGATTGAGAGTAGAGCTAAGAAAGATGAGGAAAAGACACTCAAGTAAGGGCCCATCATGTGGGAGCTGAAGCAGAGATACAATGGTTACAGGGTTGAACAGTACAACGTAATAATTGACGTACTGGGGGGTTACTCTAAACACCTAGAGAAGTCGGTGAGGAAGCTACTTGGAGCGAGAGCACGGAGCGTACTTCAGCGGATGCAGAAGTCGGTCATCTCAAACACTTTAAACATTGCCAGAACATTTAAGATAAATACTTAGTTAGGGCGCTATAGACTTCAGTTTTTAGGTTTTTTGTTTTTTCTCTAGAAATCTAGAAACACAAGCTTGCTGACGTTTTTATTTAGATTTTTTAGAACATTAGAGTTTGATATTATTATAAATAAGTTTTTAGTAGAGATAGCGAAGGTTTTAAAGAGTATCAGAATTTAATAATATTCTAAATTGGCTTTTTAAGTAGAGAGATTTATATCATTACGTATAAGCTTTTAGTAGAGATAGCGAAGGTTTTACAGAGTATCAGAATTTAATAATATTCTAAATAGGCTTTTTAAGTAGAGAGATTCATATAACTATGTATTTTAGGTTTCGTATCGACCTTTTTTTACTTCTAAGTATAGCTTCTCAAGTGGTGTAGGTTACGCTATGCGCCCTATACTACTCATAATGTGGACAGCATTCCAAAGTTTCATACTGCGACACAATAATAATAATAATAATAATAATAATAATAATAATAATAATAATAAACACGAGTACAAGATCACTAAAATCAAATCGCTACTGAAACTGTATCAGAACCCGGACCCGACTGTGGAAGCAGTTAGAGAATTTGAAGAACACGCCATGGCATCAGGCCACCAGTCGCTCGTAAAGGAAGCAGCTAAGTACGCTGAAGAACTCAACATCACCCTTCAGCTTGATACCCTAAATCCCGTGTGTGTTACAACAGATGGAAAGGTGGTAACTGCAGCAAGAGCTGGGAATCTGTTGAAGCAATCTCAAGAGAAGCAGTTCTTGGAGAGCGCTAAAGACAAAAAGTGGCAAGGAAAGTTATTCCGTATCAGATGGGAAGATGAGAGCCCAAGCACAGCCAGCTGCTTTGCATGGTTAAAAGGTTGGGCTACATGCCCTACACATACCATCGCGGGCATGTATGAACTGTATGAGCAGTTGTTACCTACGAAGCTCTACACAAAGGAGAAGACGCAAACCTCCACCGACGGCGAAGTTCTGTGCAGGTTATGTGGGAAGGTAGCTGAGAGCGTTGCACATGTACTGGCTGGATGTTCCTCCCTGGCACAAACCAAGTACCTATACAGGCATAATGCAGCTTTGAAGATTCTGTTTTTTGAGCTCCTGCGAGAGCATGGGTTAATGGAAGAGGTTCCACCATGGTACTCACCGGTGATGCCAAAACCAGCCTACCAGAACACCACGAGTGAGGCGTTTTGGGATATTCCCATCTATGCAGAGCACAACGAAGTTAGAGCAAATCGGATCGACGCGCGACTTGTCAACCACGAGAGGAAAGAAGTCTGTACAATTGAAATGAGCTGCCCATGGATTGAGAGTAGAGCTAAGAAATATGAGGAAAAGACACTCAAGTATGGGCCCATGATGTGGGAGCTGAAGCAGAGATACAATGGTTACAGGGTTGAACAGTACAACGTAATAATTGACGTACTGGGGGGTTACTCTAAACACCTAGAGAAGTCGGTGAGGAAGCTACTTGGAGCGAGAGCACGAAGCGTACTTCAGCGAATGCAGAAGTCGGTCATCTCAAACACTTTAAACATTGCCAGAACATTTAAGATAAATACTTAGTTAGGGCGCTATGGACTTCAGTTTTTAGGTTTTTGTTTTTTCTCTAGAAATCTAGAAACACAAGCTTGCTGACGTTTTTATTTAGATTTTTTAGAACATTAGAGTGTGATATTATTATAAATATGTTTTTCGTAGAGATAGCGAAGGTTTTACAGAGTATCAGAATTTAATAATATTCTAAATTGGCTTTTTAAGTAGAGAGATTTATATCACTATGTATAAGCTTTTAGTAGAGATAGCGAAGGTTTTACAGAGTATCAGAATTTAATAATATTCTAAATTGGCTTTTTAAGTAGAGAGATTCATATCACTATGTATTTTAGGATTGTATTAGGTTTCGTATCGACCTTTTTTTACTTCTAAGTATAGCTTCTCAAGTGGTGTAGGTTACGCTATGCGCCCTATACTACTCATAATGTGGACAGCATTCCAAAGTTTCATACTGCGACATAATAATAATGATAATAAACTTTATTCAAGTGTCGTGTAACTTTAGCATGGTGTTGCTAATTGGGGACACCGTAACGTAAAAAAAACTAATATATACATACTATTAGTCACAAAAATATAGAGTTATGTGTATATGTACTATGTTAAAAAAATATAGGATTATAGAATGACATGAAAACAGCCAGTTGGGCATTCTCGAGCAAAAAATTTTCCTGGTCCATTTTCCTAATTTTTCTTGTTTAAAACTGTTCAAGTCACATTCTGTCCGTACATTTCCCCGTAATTTGCGCCGTAAATAAGGCCCGGGTAGATATCTGACAGAACAATAATGTACTTCTCTACATAGTTAGCTCATTTTTGTACGTACAACCTTAACGATCATAGAAAAAGAAGAAAAGGGCTCCAATTTCATCTGACACCTCTGTGTAGTTATTTGAGATGAGGACTAATTTGCGATATTCTCAACCATTCTCTCCCAGGAGCTCGCAGGAAAATCATGTCATCATAAATACCGAATTAGTTTGATAAAATGGCACCCAAAATTCTTTCTGCTATGTAAAAATCACAAAACGTCGTCTGGATTGCCATATGTTTGAGCAGTTTTTCTTCCCCTTCCGTCTTGAAATATGTACCCCTTCTAATAATAGGCCGCAGCGCCATTTCACTGAAGTGGTTTTGGAGAAATGTACCTTTAAATCGTCCATACTCAAAAGTATGCATAGCTGCTATATAATTATTAGTCTGACTAAAGATCTAGAACAGTGAAAACAAGAATACGTACTCATCACATTGTTAACACTGAAGACGGTAATAGTTACCCTTCAAACGTTTCGTTACCCGTCCACGCCCTAATGACGCAAAGACAATACTTGTCACAAATCTTGAAACACTCGTTTGATTTTCCCCTTTCCCAATGTTGATTGGGGTATTACAGTCGTCTCAGTGCTCCAAAATACTCGTGGCTCAACATTGGGGAAGGAAAGGAGCACATTTGAGTGAGAACAAAGGCGTAAAGACTGAATGTAAGAAATTTGGAGAAAATTCAAGAAACAGGGGAAGGGCAGGATATGGTTTGGAATAGCTTTGCGAGTTTAAACTTCAGGGCGACAAATTTTCGTCCAACTGGCTCAAAGAAAAGTTCAAAAAGAAAAACTTTGATGTACTGTAACGAAAAAAAAAAACTTATCGGAACGTTACTTTCATATATGCACTGTACTGTTCAGACTCAAACACTGCTTTTATCTAGGTGAGTGTGTGATTAAAGCATTAAAACTAAACCTACCGTAAAATTCCGAAAATAAGACCCTCCAAATATAAGCCCCCCAAACGGGTAACGCAAAAAATCCTCCGTTAAATCGCCCCTCCAAATATAAGCTCCCCGGGGGCTTGTACTTGGAAAATTACCCTCGAATACAAAGTAAAACTAGGGTATCTAAAAGATAGTAATGCTGCGGCACATTCTGTTGATGCTGACATTAGTTAGGCAGTGGGACTTAAAAAAATCGAAAATGACATTGAATGTCCTATTTACATGTTGGAAAGTACTAGAATAATTATTACTATCAGTCTATACAAAGAACTCGTGGGAAAGTTGATTAGAAAATGATCAAGTGGTTATCAACTCTGGTTTTCCCGCAGTAAATTGTAGGAAATGATAGAAATTCAGATTGCTTATCCATATATTTAATATACGGTGTACTATCTTTTATCTGGAAACACGATACTTTTCTTGCTGTTTATTGCACTTTATTAAGTAACAGTTATTTAGCTGTATATTTATAGACAACAACACAAAAAACAGGAAAAAAAAGAAAGAAGGAAAAAAAGAGTGCGGTAGGACCCGAACCCAGCCCCATCGGCTCGACGCGACTACACCTAACCACTACACCACAGAGACTGATCAGGTATTTTCTTTTTCAGGTATTTAATTTAATGGCTTTTCCATGAAACGTCCGCCGGCAAGATGATCGCCAGCCACATTAACCGAGCTATTGCCAGTGAAAAACAATGTAAACGCATATTCCACGGCAATGAATGAATGAAAGAACATAATTATGCTTTTCAAAACGCCGATACACGTCCTCGTCTGCAACGTAGGACACAAAACATATGTTTTATTATCTCGATTTCCGCTGTTATTTTGAAGCGAATGGTCAAAATCACATCCATTTTTGGCTCATACAGGTTCTTAAGAATAGCATGGCATGACATTTTCTTACTTTCACATCACCTTCTAGCAAGCTGGAATTTGTATATCCCCCGTGTTGCAGAGTCGAAGAGCAAATGCTCATCTTCTCGTCAGGTTTAACACCTGGATGAGTCAAAGGCTCTTGAATTAAAAACCAATCCCCAAGTTAACCATCGTACTCATCTGAAAGACTCCTGCGTGTCTTAAATTTGGTAAGACCTCTAACCGTGCTGTAGAAAATTTGCTACAAAGAAAACTCTGAGTTTGGGCAGCGAACGATGCGAACTTCCCCGTGTTTTTATTTGAGTTGTCCGTGGCGCAATGCACTCTGGTTAAATGCAATGCATTGTGGTAAAAAGTGTGGTTAAGTGCAATGCATTTTGGTAAAAAGTGATGAATTCGAGAATTCATCGCCCCTTATATATTTCCTTTAAATCCTGATTATGTTGCTGCTCGCTCCCTGCGGTCGCTCCGCAGCAATTAGTACTTTCGTCGTAAATACATTTGTACTCAAGTGGAGTTGTACGCCTTCTGGTTCAGTGAGGCCAAGGTTAATATAACACGAGTTACTAGTAGTTTTAGAGTTTGATAAATATTGTAACTTAAGATTGTGACTTGTGCGCCCTCTGATCCAGTGCGATCAAGGTTAATACAGCATGAGTTCCTTGTAGTTTTAGGAATTGTCAAATATTGAAACTAACGATTGGTATAGTATTCCTGTAAGATCCAAGTGTAACATTTTTTCTATTATTCGTTCTTGTGTAATTTGTTTTTCCTTTGCGTACGCAAATTAGTTTATACTTCTTTTCGTCCTTTTGTTTAGTCTTTTTTTTTTTGCGTTAATTTAGGTGTTTATTCCTTTTTGTCAGTTTTCGCGCCCTCGTTAGCGTTTCTTTGCTGTTTCATCTTCATTAGCGCCTTTCTAAGTTTCTATAGTTTTATTTTCCGCATGTTCTAGCGTATTTTTCATATATCGTAATTTTGCAGTACAGTTTGGGCAGTTCATTTTTGGTTCGCGCTTAGCGCAGTTCTGTTTTAGTTTCTTGCTAGTCCCTAGCTTCGCGTTATTCGCAGTCCGCTTCAGCAGTTTTCTCTGGCCGAAACAATGTAAGTGTATTTCACAGTCCTCGCTTTGCAGTTTTGTTATTTCTTTACTCTTATTTACTTTAGTCGCAACTTGTAACTTTTTTACTTTTTTACCGTTTTAGTTTCAACCCACGCCGTTTGTATGTGCACTGAATAAATCTTCATTCTTATTTGGTTCGTGGTGTTGTCTTTAAGGCCAAGAGACTTTACGCTTTTTGCAGTTTCATCGTTGAAAATTGTTGGTGACATGTCGTTTCGTCATGAGCTTTAGCCGCAAGCAGCTTACAGATCCCGTCGCCCGGCGAGTTGGAACACGCGTACGACAACCAAACCGTTCGCTGGATTTTGAAGCGTCTAACCTGGAAACACTTCGTTTAAAGAAAAATTCAAGGTCTGGTCACCTATCTACCGTAACCGCCATTTCTAATGAAATTTCTGGCTTGCTTACTGGTGATCATAATCTTCGGAAGGTTAAAGAGAAGCTTCCTTACTTCGACAACGCCTTTGAGAGATTTAAAGAGGCCCATCGCGATTACGTCGAAGAAATTCTGGATGAGAACGCCATTATTGAGGGTCAACGCTATCTTGAAGACAAAGAGAGAAAGGTTCGTGTGTTCCGTCAGGAGATCGTCGATTGGATAATTAATATTGAACACAAGTTATTAGCAGAATCTCTTCAAGTAGATTCGGCAGTGAATCCCGAGGATTCAATTAGTTGTGCTGGCACACCAATTCCTTCAGGTGCTTCCAAGGTTTCAAAACATTCAAGTCGAGCAAGTTCACGTGGTGGTCGTGCTTCATCAGTTGCAGCCGCGAGAGCCAAAGAAGCCGCAAGAATTGCCGAGTTAAAAGCTGAAATTTCTATGCTCGAAAAGCGCCAAACACTCGAAGAGAAAAAGTTTCGTTTACAGCAGGAAGAATTACGCCTTAACCTCGAAGCCGAAATGGTCAAGACAACAGCTAAGGAGAGGGTCTACGCAGCAATGACCTCCCTTCTCTACCGGAGGTGAAGCCTTTAAAATTGGAGACAGAGCTCCAGGATCAGGATCCCCCTCGTACCAGCCCCCCCGCGCGAAAAGGTCTTTTCCAGGCAAGGTGCATCACCCAGGCCAGGGCGTGTCCATGGATTCTGTTCCTTACGGCCAGTTTGATTATCAAGCGTGTACAGTCGGCGAGGATCTGAGAAAGGAAACGATTGGTTTGCAGCGGCAACAGACTGCTCTTCAGTTTCAGCAGAATAGAATAATGGAATTGCTAGCGCATAATCAGAATAGGA